TAACGGGACAGGCGCGGGTCATCGTATGGACCATGAATGCAAGGGTGCCAAGTGTCTTTGGCAATTTGCTTGAAGGGACTATGATCATTTTGATAGGCAACTTTCGAAAGCGTCATCGAGGGACTTATGATCATTTGAATTGTTTTGCCAAAGAAACTCGACGTGCAAGCATGGCCCATTTTGGAAGGCAACAAGCGGGATTACCCTAGGGGTGCAAGTGTGAATGTGTATTGATTTCATGTATTTGTCTTTGTATTAGGTTATCTAGCATTTGATTTTATGTATATGCAAACCCTAGGTCTAACCATGGTATATTTGAAAGCGATAAATTGCGGGAATTTAAAGTCTACGCTATTACAAATAAGTATCCGGGAGTGGGGGTACAAATGTTTACAAATGGGGATGAGACTTTAGGAGGATAGTGTCCAAATAATTTACAACCAAATCGAATTGCGATCAAATGTAAAATGTATCAATGTACAAGAATAAAGGCAATGTAAAATGTACCAATGTATCAATATATTTGTGTAAGTGTAGGTGAATGTGATTTATTTACAAGGTGAGAAATGTTAACTTAATGTATAATTAAGTATTTTATTTATGTATTGTATTTTTGTATTTTTGTTTAAGTATGTACAAACAAAATATTTTAAGAAAAGAAAAGGAAATGTTTTTTTAAACTTTTAGAGAAAAGTATCATTTATATATTTTTTGGTTTATGTACAAATAAGAAAATTTAATAAAAGAAAAGAAAATTATTCCACATTAAGAAAATTAACATTAAGGTTTATATATTCACTTAAAAATGTAATGAATAAAAAGAAAATAATTAAGAACATTTTATCTAAAAAAGGGTATTATTTATTTAACAAAATATTAAGTATATTAAAAAAAGAAAATTGTCAATTAAAGTTTAATGAAAAAAGAAAGTATGAGTTATTTTTAAAATAATAATAAAAAAAAAAGCTAAGAGATTCAATGGGCCCTGTGTTTGTCTTTGGCCCAAACAAAATAGGTGGATTTAGGGAAAAAAAGGAGGGGGGTGCGTATGCTGGAAATATGATAGGCCTAGGCAGAAAATGGGACAGGGCCCAAGCGCGTTTCACAAATTGATTTTGCAAGGGTTAAGTTGTTTGGTTCATTTGGGAACGAATTAGGGTTTGGCCAAAATCACAGAGGCGCGCCGTTTACACCTTTGCTTCGTCTTCGTCTTCTCCAGCCCAAAAACTGAACTACGTCCTTCGCCCAAGGGCCATCGATCGCCACCTCTGCTTCCCCTTTCTCCATGGGTGAGCGCAATAGCGCCAAGAAACGGTAAAAACATCCCTCTTTTATGCCTTAGGGTTTTCGTTAGCTCTTTTTGATTTCATGTTTTGATTAAGTGTTATTATTGTTTCTGATTGAGGTTTTGAAAAGAGAAAGAAATAATATTACCTTTGTTGGAGGAGGATGGTGGACGTGGAGGCGCTTGCAGGCGGCCAAGGGCGGAGGAACGTGATGCTGAGGCTAGCTTGCTCTTGCTAATCTGGTACCTTGTATTTGTTTTACCTCTTTGTTGTTGATTTAATGATGACTATCTGAAAACAACTTCTTTATCTTCTTCTCTTTTGCTTCTGGTTACTGGCTTTGTATGATGTTCTTATGATATGCTTGAGTTGCCTTTTCCTCCTCTTCTTGTGGGCTTGCTTAGATACCTGATAGGTTGGTTACTGCCTTGTATGCTTGTATGCTGATATTGATGCTTGCCCCTGTATGTTAACCCAGTGATGACAACATTCTGAGGGTTTAGAGTTTTGGTTGGATTTTGTTGATATGTTTAGGCTGAGCAGTTTGAAAGGCTTGGACAAGTTATTTGGTATGGCTTTGATGCAGTCTAAGGCTTGGACAGGCTAAGCTTGGCTTCAGCAGGTTTTAGACTTAGTGTGCTTACAGGTTGATGCAAGGCTTGAAAGGCTTATGCAGGTTAGGCTTGTATGGACCTGCTTGTGAGTTTGACAGTTTGAGGTGCAGGGCTTTTGGTGAGAAGCAGGTTATGGATTTTTTGAGGTTTGGAGGCGGTTCAGGCTTTAAGGCATATGCAGGTTTTTTATGTTTGATGGTTTATGGTGAGCCTGCAGGTTTAGGCTTTGTTTGGTTTTCAGGCTTCAGTTTGTTTGAGGCTTATCTTTAGCAGGGCCTACTGTTGGTATATTTGAAACAGGTTTAAGCTTGAAGCCTGAAAGGCTTATGCAGGTTTCAGTTTGCAATGAGCTTGGTTAAGGCTTGAGGCAGGTTCATGGCTTTTTGTTTACAGGTTAGGAGCTTTGAGGCTTTGTTTGACAGGGCCTGTAGAGGTTTGGAACTTTTTTTTTTGGTTATGTATTTTCTGCCTCTGCTTTGTACTGTGTTGGTATCATTGTTTTATATCTTAAGTCAAGCCTAAGCCTGCAAGCCTTTGCTTTATTTTTTCTCTTCTCTCTCTCCAGTATTAAAGCATAAAATATTGCTTAGATGTACTATTTCTCTGAAAAGGTAGCTGGCTGAAAATGATGTAATTGGATGTTGCTTGCAATAGTTGCTTAGCTCTGCATACTTCCTTCTTTCCTGCATACTTTAATGACAGCATTTTGTACTTCTTGATATCTTGAGATACTTCTATATCTTTGGACAGATTTTGACAGCTTTTTGGCTTAGTTTGAAATTGTGATTCAGTTTGCCTTTATATTTGTACATGCTGTTTGTTTTGAAGCTATGCAGCTGGTTGACAAATTTGAATTTGTGCAATTTGTAGCTTTTGTGCATTTCATACTTTATTTGCAAGCATTATTTTCATCCCTCTTTGTGAACCAAGAGCAATCTTGTGATTTACAGAGAGGGCAAACTGATTCTGGCCAGTTACCTTTAATGATGAATCCAATTTTTATCTGTCTGCTCTTTAATTATTTTATCTGCATTTGACTTTTTCTTTTCTTTCTTTGTTTTGCAGATAAAAATAATTGAGCAAAGGAGCAATGGATAGAAGATGAATACTTAGGAATTTTTAGGATAATTTTATTTCAAATTTAATCATTTGTAAAATTATTATTGTAAACAAAAATGTAAATAAATTTACCGTTGTTCAAATAATAATTTGTAACAAAACAATTAAAGATGAATAAATAAAAATCCTTTTGATCAGTTAATTCCCTTTTTTTAGCTGTCTATTTAATTACTTATAAATTCTTAAATTATAATAAATGGAAATAAATTCCAATTATCCTAACTTAGAATAAATAAACAATTAATAAACACTGTGGTTTTAGCATCGATCAATTAATAAACCTGGCGTTTCAAATAGTCACAGCAATGCATAGTCAAATCAAACAAACGTCCATATGCCTCTTTTCACTAATTTAGTCAAACACTGCAAACTCAATCCAAATCTCAGAGTAAACTGAAAAGAGCTATAGAATTAATTCTTTCTGAGAAATACGCGCACAAAACCCTAGTTCTTGATTAAATGTCAGAGAAGCGCCTGCCTGATAAAAACCTGAGCCAACTCAACCAAACCTTAGCAATCTGCCTGAACTGCTTTAAAATCAATGAAAACCCTAATTTTGTCTGACTGATAAGAAAAGTCTGTTTGACTGATTCTTACGCCAATCTGAAAAAATCAAGAAAAGGCCGAAGCTGTGATTTCTTGTGGAAAAATACGAGAGCAAATTTTGGAGTACAACACTAACTTATAACTTTTGTCTATAAGATAATAGAAATTATTTTTGATTAATGATAATAAATAAATATTAATAAATAAAAATACTAAATCAACCCTAGTTTTTACTAAAAAAATCTCATGAACTTAACAACTTATAGGTAAGATTATAAAAATGAAAATAAATGTTGTAAAAAAATTTAAAATGCTAGTGATACAAACACTAAATATGATAAAACAAGCTTTGACTAGTCATACATGTCCATTTTATCTGCATTTTTAGTGAGATTGATTAAGGTTTTATGGTCGCACCCTTTAATATGACCATCCTATTTTTTGTGAACTTTTGTGGACGCGAATACTAACACAATTATTATTATTTTTTTTTGCATTTTTAGACTTAAAAAATATAGTGTTCGCGGACCCACCCTAATCCGCCCTTATTTGTAGAGAACATAACAAAGTTTTAGGAATGCATCCTCAATTATATCCGTCCGACTTAATTATTTTTTGACTTTTACAAGACAAATCTTAAATGGAGCTAAGTGATACTATACGTGGGTAAAAGAAGGACAAGTTATTTTGCACTTAAAAAACAAAGACTACAAATGAAAAGTAGGAGTGTACAGAGGTCAGTTTGATTTAATTTTGAGAGAATTTGATGTCAAAACTGATAAAAAAATATATAGATCAGTTTAGATAATATTTACACATTTTTACAATAAAATCTAAACCGAATCAAACTAATAAACAACACATTGAGTTAAGTTGAATTGATCAGGTACATTAAAAATAAATTTTTAAAAATATTTTATAAAAACTATCTAATTTATATCAATTAACTTTCTAAAATAATATAAAATCCTTAATTTTTTTCTTCATATAGATAGTGCACATCACAAATGACGTTTATTTTCTTTCGTAAAATTAAATACTTTATATTAACTTTTATAACAATAATAATATAATTTATTATTAATTAATTATGATTAAATTGGATAGACGAACACGTAAATATAATTTTAAATATCAATTAATATAAAATTTTATTGATTTAGTCCGATTTTTTGCCAACTAAAAAATGCACGACCCATTACGATAAAAAAAAAAATGCACAACCCACGCGTTATAATTTGATTTAAATTTAAAGGAACCACCATAACTTATTCTCTATTTATGTATCTCTCAAATCAAACCAACCGTAAATATTTTCTATAGTTAAATAAATTATTATTTTTTTCTATTTTTAAACCCCTCGTCCCAGACCTAAAATACCCGAACCAGTTACGTTTTTCGATAAACCCCTAAACCCCTCTGAACAAAACCAACCATGGAGCAAAATTCCGCCGCCGCATACGGCGGAGTAATCAGCTACGAAGCAAAACTGAAAGAATTACTCCATAGAATCACTTCACCGGAGATAAAGCTATGTTCCGACGCCACAAAAGAGTTCGTAAAGCTCTTAAAGAGCGACAACGGAGCAAAACTCCTCCGCGACTACGTTCTTGGTTCTCCCAAATGCTCCGAGTTACTAGAAGCCTGGAAGTTACGACAAGGAAAACAAGGTTTGCACTACGTTTTTGAGTTAATTTCTGCATTACTCAGTCACCGTAACGGTAAACAGAAACAATGTTTCAATGACGCTGAGAGTGTGAGTATTGCTAGGGATTTAGATAAATTCGCGCGGTTGATTGTTACGGATTATTTGAATGATTTATATAAAGAGTTGAATGGGAAGGAATTGAAACGGCAGAAAGCGGTTTTGTTGCTTTTGGCTTCGATTGTTCGGCGGGGAGCGGGTATAGCTTCGGAGGTTGCGAAGAGTTTTGATTTTAAGGTTGCTGGATTCACGGCATTGGCGAAGAGGACGAGGAAAAGTGAAGGTAAGAGAGAGGTTCTGTTGAGGAAGTCGTTTGTTGGATTCGCGATGTCGTTTTTAGAGGTTGGGAAACCGGGATTGTTGCGGTGGATTTTGCAGCAGAGGGAGATGTATTCCGGCGTGCTTCGTGGATTGGAGAATGATGATGATGAGACTGTTGTTTTTGTTTTGTCTACTTTGAGGGATTATGTTCTTGTTGAGGCGTCGTTGGTGCCACCGGGGTTGAGGAGTGTTTTGTTTGGGAGTGTTACTTTGGAGCAGTTGGTTGGGATTTGTGGAAGGGAAGGTGGTGGAGATGCTGCTAAAATTGCTTTTGATGTTCTTGTTTTGGTTTGTACTGATCCAAGTAATGGATTGATGCCTGATTCGAAGAAGCGTCCGCATCCTTTGAAGGGTAATCAGAAGAGGATGATGGATTTGTTGAAGAAGATGTGGCCTACTGAGGTTCAGTATCATAGGGATTTGCTTTTGGCTATTGTCAATGCCCGGCCTTCTTTTGGTTTGTTGTACTTAAAAGAGTTTCCTCACAATGTTGAAAACTATAAATCATCTTCATGGTTAGTATTGGTTCAATGCACTTTTATTTGATCCTGTATCCATTATTATCTTTATATTATATATACTCCTTCCGTTCTAAATTATAAGACGTTTTTGACATTTCACACGAATTAAGAAACGTAAATAATTTTGTATGAGAAAGAGATATTGTGTAGGACTTTACAATATTGTCCTTCATTTATTACAGATGAAAGAGAAATTTAAATAATTGGAAGAAGTATCTCTAATAAATGATAGAGGATATATTGAGACTGTAAAGTGACTTATAATTTAGGACAATTTTTTTTGGCGAAGTGACTTATAATTTGGGACAGAGGGAGTATGTATGATTAATGTTAGCATCATATAGTCTAAACCCACTAAATAACTAGTGTTCATTTTCTTTCATTTTTATTTGATAGGCAAATGTTAGCGGTTAATTTGTCAGAGGGAGGGGGAGGGGGATTTTATCGCATGCTTAGTTTGCAGGGTCATTAGATCTGGTTTTAGGTCTGCAGGGTCATTAGATCTTGTTTTAGGTTGCAAATGCACCTTCAAGATGAAATTTGTGTAAATCCATGTTTAGGGAGATAAAAGAAAGTTTTATTCCATCAATGAATGCAGCTCACTCTCTGTCCGACATGATTATTGACCGAAAGAACCAATTGCTATAATGGGGAAGAATTCCCTTTGATTACAAACAATGGAAACATCCGAGGGTCTGTAGACCTCCTACGTAATACTCCTCCAGCCTCACCTTAGAGACAACTAGGGCTCATTCACTATCAGTGGGACTAGCTATGAGATTTTTTTATCTATTGGTGATTGTTTTGGTTTTGCTAACGTTTTCTCTTCTATGTATATGTTTCCATTCCTTATACGCTTTTCGATTGTGACTTCTGTGTTTGCAGGATTTTTGCAGTATCTTTGGCAGCTGATTTGGTTTCTTCAATCAGCAATGGCATTTCCAAGGAATTTGGTAATTCCCGATCAAATGTTTCTTCCTCGATCGACAACATCGATTTACTCGACATTGTGAAGTGCTTGTTTCCTCGTCCATTCAGCAGGTCAATGTTTAATAAGGGGTTGCATCATGCTAACTCTTTTGTGAAACATGGTACTCTAAGGCTTCTTCTGGAGTTATTAAAACTGCTGGATTCCCTTTTTGGTGGTTTGAATCATAGTTCTAATTCAGACAATCCTTTGATGCAACATATGGTATCTGTCAAGCAAGAAATTCAGAATTATGTTCAACCTTATCTTCCTGATCTGCAAGTTTTGTTAAATTTACTCTCCTCTTTAGATACGTGTTATGAATCTAATAACTCTAGTTTGAAGAGAAATGCATCCCATCATGAGCATGATGGGAATAGTAGAAAGAAGTTAAAAATGGATACTTCTGAGAGTGACATAGATATAATTGTTGGCGGGATAAGTTCTGCTCCAGATATTGATTTGAGTGGTGACACAGGAACTGTTGACGATGCACTTAAAGAAGATGCACCAGATGATGCAGAGGATCTCAAGAATAGCGTTGGGGAAGTATGGGGTTTGGACCTTCATTCCATTGATATTAGCACCCTGAAAGATGCAGAGTCATACTTACTGTCTAAGCTGCTTGATGCTCTCAGATATTATCATGTATGTTTAGTTTTATTTCATATAGTGATTGATAAGAGATAAGAGAATATAGAGATTGATAAGAGAATGCTTATGATTAATATATTTTTAACTTTTAGAGTATTAAATGTTATCTGTCGGATAAAATTTAAAATGAAATCTACAATGTTGTGTCATGCAGTTGTTGCACTTACACCTAAGCTAAACATATTTTCTTAAATAGTGAAGGAAAGGACGTCTGGTGTCTTATTTATTGATTGATTTACTTCCTTATACAACTTGAATATCTTTCCCAAGTAATGCACATATGTATGAAGTTATCTTATTTTTATTTTGTTTTTCTTGTGCAGCGGACTTTGCCTTCAACTTTGGATCATTCCTTTGATTCTTTCAAAGCTCTTCTTAAAAACCCATTAGAGTTAACAAGTCATCTGCAAGTCTCACTGTTGTCTTTGCTTGTTGAATTCATTCAATGGTGTCCAGAGAATGAAATTCCTATAAGAACTCCAGCCATGTTGTACAAATATCTACAACCATTCACTACTTTGTTTATGTTTTCACCAATAAAAAAGGCAAGGAATCTGGCATACCGGCTGGCCGTGGCAGCTATGTTCAGTACTGGTGCTTTTGACGGGAATTTTCATGAGATACATTCATGGTTTTTGTTTTTACCAGGTTTTCAATGGGAGCAATCCCCGGTTAATATCTTGGAGGTGGATGTTTTACATAATTTGACCTTGTTTGTTATAACATTCTTATGTGATGCTGTTTCTACAATCGGGAATAGTTTAGTAAAATATTGGAACATCCTTAAGAATCGTATACACTCTTCGGAAGGTGATAAAGGTAACTAACCCTAAAATCACTTATATTGCTTCTATTGCATTTTTATCTGGTTTGGTTAATTCATTTGATCAAGGTGCATCCATTAGACTATATCTCAAGCTCATTTTTTACCGTCATAGTACCCACAGTGGTCCTGTATTTTGGCATCTTTGGGGAATGCTAACATTTTGTGTTGCCGAAATAGTGGAAAAACTTTTGGCTCATTATTGCTACACTGAACTGGTGATTTTCAACTGCATTGCAGATTTATCTCCTGATGTTAGTCCTTTTATCATATGTGTACTGGAGAAGTGTCTAAAGGTGATCCGATCAAAATCAGGAACCTGCTCGTTGCCTAAAAAATCAATAGTATTATCATACACTTGCAACACAGTGAAATACCTCTTGCAAACACAGGTATGTGTATAACCAGACATATTTTGATTTAGTCTTGCAGTTTCTGCTCGTCTAATATTATATCTGTGTTCTTTATAGGTCAATGCTGAATTGCTATCTTCTGTAGTTAATGCAGACTTGACTGAGAGACTTGGCGACAGTTATGAATATGATGAAGTCTTTCCTGAGTGGAAGCCTTTGAAGAATTTGTTGGATTTTGTGGAGGGTATTTCACACCAACAAAATTGTTGCCTTTTATCTGGAAAAGAAGAATCTGTCCATCCTGATGGTTCTTTAGGAAGTTCACTTGGTGATGTAAATAGACTACTAGGTGGAGGGGATGATCATCGGATGGCTGAAACAACTGTAGCTCTCATATCCTCCATTGCATGCGAAAATACTGATAAAATATCCATGGATCTGCCATCAAGCGTGGTCATTTCACGTGACTTACTTGACGTTCCTTTCTCTCTCCTGTCGTCTATATATTTTCTTGATTATAGTGTTCTTGTCCATGCTTCTAAGATGTGGCCTGTGACGTTTTATGCTGGCTTGGATATGGCCATATCAGATCTGTGCAGTGATAGTCAAAATGCTGCTCCTATTGAGACATCTGATCTTACATTTTGTCCAGACTCTCTAACTTGTGGCCAACTCTTAGATGCTTTTGAACCTGATTCTGCTGCATTTAGTATCATTCTAAAACAAGCACCTTTCCATGTGATATTTCCTGCAATGATGTGTATGAATGGTCATTGTGCATCGAAGCTTTCTAAGATGCAAGATCTTCTGCTACATAAGTTATGTGAATTCGTAAATGACCACTCACTCCTTCCCAGTCTGCAGCTTGTGCTGTTTTGGACTCATCAGATTCAGCAAAGTCATAAAGTTATCCCATTAGCTGAAATAGAACAACTTTTGAATATCTGTGTTGTTCTTGTACAGAACCTATTAGCAAAGTTATTGGTTCCGGAAAGTTCTGATTTGTCTATAAAAGACTCTGCTTTCTCTTTCTCAAGCCATTACGTTGAAGAAGTTATTAAAACCATTTGTTGTCATCCCTCTGTTTTGATATCATTATCCTTTTCTTTAGGAAATAGCCAGAACATTTCGAATGGAAATACAGGAACCGACTTTGATATCCTAAATGTACTATCCAGTGAGGGGTTTAAAAAATTTGGTAATCCAATTTTAGACATATTGACAATGACTCTAGACAACACGTGGTCGTTATTCAGTACCCACCTTTGTGGATCGAAAGCTGAAGACGTCACTAATAATTTTGTGAAAATCTTTAAAGGGCTTCAACAGAAGCTGTTTCTGGAGGTCAAGAAAAGATTTGAGTTGTGCATTGGTACTAAAGATACAACGCCTCTCCTTCCAACATTGTATGCCTTACACACTTTGCATCGGTTTCTATCCCCTTTTCAGCTCCTTGAATTAGTAGATTGGATGTTCAATAGAGTTGGGATGGATGATTTGCCAACTAAGATGTCCTTTTTATCTGTTGGCTGTTCCTTAGCTTCTTATGCTTTCAGCACTTTATCTTTTTATTTTCAGCAGTCAAGTGGAAACAGGGTTTCATATGATTTGTTTTGGGAAATGGGTGAAAGCAATGTGAAAGCTGATATTTTTGAGCAGATATACAGTAAGGTAGTTGATTTTTCTGTAAATCATGAAATAGATTGTGCAGATAGCTGCTTGCTTGAAGCTGTTGATGCTTTGTATAAGCAGAAAAATATGCAACAAGAAAGTTTTCATCCTTTGATGTTGGTTGTGTGGAAAATTATAATGAATACTCCTGTGAAAATGCTTTCTCTTTGCCTGTACAAAATGAATGCAAAGAGAGCTAGATTCTTACATATTCTCACCGAACTGAGCTCTCTGCATTCATCTATATTTGGGCATTTATTTTTGGGCATAGTGAAGAGAAGTTTAGATCATGATGTTGGGGTTGCCGAAGCTTTTGATCTTAGTCTTTCAGAAGATCAGTTTATATCACTTTTACCGACCTCTTTATCATATTTGAGGTTAATTTTGAAGAGATTTGGGGATCTGAGTCACAGAGATTTTAAAAAGATCCCGTACTTCTATTCAAAAATCCTTCTAAAAGGTTTTAGTCAGTGGAAGAGCTTTTTGTCCAAAGACATATTTGAGGAAGAGTATGGAGAATCTGTCCCATCATCTGTTCAAGAGCTTCTCTGTCTTACTGATTGTAGTCTCCTTGGAAAATCAATCCATATGTTGCAGTATCACTTTGCTCTTAATGGAGATTCTCTGAAACTGAAGAACCGTTTGAAGCTATTCAAATCCATTTGGCCCACACTTGCCTTGCATGATGAGCTGATGGACTGTCATAGTCAATGTATTGATAGTTATTCTCTTTGCCAGTCTTTCAACATAATCAATCACGTTGTCGCAAAGATATCACTTTGTAAAATGTTACTGTTTCATGATGAAGAAGGTGGGGATTTGAAAGAGGTTGCTCTGGAAATGCGAAGCAATTTGAAAGCATCCAGGATACATTTCATAAATGTTTTGGTGAACATTTGGCAGCTTATTGTTCAGAAATTTTCTTTATCCTCTCATCAGTCTGGAACAGGGAAAAGCACAAGCATTTCGTTGCTATATAATCACTTGGAAGTTTTTGTGTTAACAACCATTCTTGAGTTGGCTGTAGAGATACAAAGTGATCTTATTCAATCACATTCCATTACTTTCCTTGAGATATTATTCAGGTCTGCTCTTCTCTATAGGTTCAGTGATCCTAAGACAATGAAAACCCTCCAGGTTATATTAACTCGGCTCAACGAGGGGAGGCTATCATATGATTTATACCTTCAGTTATTACTTGCTCACTCTCAGTTTGCTCCCACTCTCCATTCAGCGCGCAGACCAGCTGGTTCGTTTTTGAAGCCTGTATCCAGCATTTTGAAATGTATTGCCATTCCTTTTCTTGACCATTCAGAAAATAATGTGAAGCACAAGGTGCTAACAACCAAGCTCTCTAAAGGACCATTGGAAATTGTTAAATTGCTTTGGATAATCTTATGGACAAAAGCTCGTGAAACTGATTTAGATTCTCAAAATGAGATTGGCATAAATTTAAAAGAGCTTCATGCACTACTGAGTTATTCATATGGTGCAACACTCAGTGAGATTGATTTGGCAATATACAATGTGATGAAACAAGTTGAGTCCTTGACTGGATCATGCCCTCAGAATGTAAAGTTAAATTCAGAAGCAATTGAGGAATGGACCAGAAGTCAGCAAAGGGACAACTTTCCAATTGATCCAGACGTATGTGTGTCAACAGTGCTCTTTTTTCCTTATGACAGAAGTACTTCTGATGAAGTGCCATCTGTAAACAAGATTGAAATTGACAATGCCAGGAAAAAGGTTGTGATGTTTAATTTTTCTACTTGAAGCAGTGTTTCCCTGCTTGTAGTCTTGTGCTTGTTCTCGTTCTGTTCCATAACTTTAACTAACTATTCAACATCCTTTGCAGATACATTCTTCTCATGTTGAAGTTAGAGAACGTTATGATCCTGTATTTATCTTGCAATTCTCAATTCATGGCCTGTCTAAAGCATATATAGAGCCTGTAGAGTTTGCTGGGTCAGGTTTGCTTGCAATTGCATTTGTTAGCATGTCTTCTGCAGATCATGGGATACGAAGATTAGCTTATGACACACTTGTTATATTTAAGAATGTATTAGAGGTTGGTAATGTGCTTATCATTTTATGCTTATTGTTTCCTTATCATCATATGAAATTTAGTTGGGAGAATGTCAGATATATTTTTTATGCTAATTGTTTCCTTATCATCATATAAAATTTATTTAGGAGAATGTCAGATATATTTTTTTCAATTGTTTTACTATTGAACTAGTAATTTGTTTATCTATGTTTTCACATTACATCTGTTTTTGTATTGGATCATGCTTATAGCTTTTCTTTGGGTGTTTTGCTCATCATTTAGGAAAATAATTCTATTCATGAAAAAGAAATTGGTCATTGCATGCTGACTCCTATTAGAAAGCTATCTTAGGATCTGTTTCTATTTTCATTTTCAATTTTCATCATTAATTTTTATTATTTGTTTAAAAATGTTGAAAATTACAAAAGCTATTTTCAGCATTTCCTGTATAGATTTTTGAAAATGAGACATGGTGAAAACAAGCTTACATTATATAATTGTTAGTGAAGATAATTTTTTTTCTTCTCAAACCAAACATCCCCTTATCTTGTCTGTTTTACTATATTTATTCTTCCTAAAATAAGCTTATGGGAAAAGTTCAGCAAGAGCACTGTATGCTATGAGTGAGTAGAAGCCTCTAAGACGCCTAGAAGCCCAAACTCGTGCAAGCTAAGGCCAATGTTTTTTTTGTACCATTGTGGCTTGGGATTTTTCTAAGGGTTTATCTCTAGGCTTCAGGGCTCCATGAAAAAAAAAGGCGTTATTAGCATGGTAGTCAAAATCGCGATCCCACTCGTAGAATTGTACGATTTTGCAACTCCCCGCCGTGCCGGAAAATGACCAGAATTGGTTTTTGGTAGGAATGGACAGAATCGCGGTGATAGCACGTGAAAACGGTGGAATCGGCGTTTTTGGGAAGAACTGCCATTTCTGTTAAAAGCCACCAGGAATTCGGGTTCACGGGTCGGGTTCGCGACCTGGTTTCAGAAAAACCCTAAAAACATTTCTTTTCTGATTGAAATTTGAAAAGTATATTTGCTATTGACAATTTGACAGTTAAACGTTTAAGCCTAATAAAAAGGAGTAATTAATACCCACCCGTCCATGATTACTGTAACTTCCCAAAATACAGATTCATTCCAACTCTCACACTAAACATCTCTCTCACGTTAAATACAGCAATCATGTCACTCAATATTCCATTCTCTATCTTCTCTCATGTTAAAAACAACCTTACAATAAATATCTTGTGAAATTTCAGTTTTTAAAGTAATTTTAGAGTTATTTAAATTTTTTTCTACTAAATTATGTTGCTGTCATATGCATATTATTAATTTATATACAATATATATGAATTTTTAAATTTGGTAGGATCTTATGATCCGTGTTACGATCCCCCGACTCACGATCTCGTTACCCCTACCCGATTTTGCGTAGGATCTCGAGTCTGACTACCTTGGTTATTAGGGTTAGAGCATACAAAAACATTGCATTGGCTTCTATAAAGTTCAATCATTATATCAGATTTGTCCTTTTAAGAATGTATTTGTCGCACTTATGTTTGTTGTTGACTAATTGTGATTGATCAAAAATCAAAATGTTTTACAGAAATGCCAAAAGAGGAAGGATGTAATGGGACTCCGGCTTCTAATGAATTCTGTTCAAAACAGTATTGAAGAGTCATGGCGAAGAATCCCATCGGTTATTGCTCTGTTTGCTGCAGAGGCATCTTGTGTATTGTTAGATTCCTCGCATGATCATTATGCAGCTATATGCACGTTCTTGACACAGTCTTCTACGATGAATATGAAGGTATATATCTGTGGTATTGGAATTTTCTTTCATAATTTTTTTTTTGCCTTTTGATTTGCATAAAACATATGCTTTCGAGGAATAATTGTTGTGTAAGTTCCATTTGCTTCCGATTGTAGGTTATACCTCTGTTTGATAACTTTATGTGGAGTTCATCCGTCAATTTCAAAGCAGAGAGATCTTGGATACTTCGGCTAGTATATGCAGGACTGAACTCAGATGATGATGCCATGATATATATCAGGAACTCTGCTCTTGAAAGTTTAATGAGCTTTTATGTCTCTCCTCTCTCAGATGCTGTGTCAAAGGACCTGATCATTGAAGTAAACTCGATTCCTAATTTTCCCGTCTTTCTATTACGTTATATATTGTTGTCACTTTCTATTGCATTATATATTGTTGTCACTTTCTGATTTAAATCGTTGAATCAAATCAAACCATAAATTTTATGATTCTTATTTAAAATTAATAGATCTGAATTAACATTTTAGATAATAAGTTATCCAATAATTTTTTGAATCTTATAAATGATGTTTTGATTTTATCCCATATAAATTTTATGTTCACATATAAAAATTAAAGTTTAACAGGTCTAAATTAACATTTTACACAATAAGGTGTCCAATAATTTTTTGAATCTTATAAATGATGTATCGACTTCATCCCTGGTGAAATTGATATTTGTGTTGTTTGTTTGAAGTCCCATATTACTTAAGTTCCCGGATTGTTGATTGTATAAATATGTGAGGGCAACCTCACTCTTAGAGCTAGCTTTTCGGGTCGGGATCCAAACATATTTAACATGGTATCAGAGCCGGGTTAAGGATTGTAATGTGGGCATTTGACCCAGACCCACGCTAGGCGTGAGGGTGGGTGTTGAAATTGATATTTGTGTTGTTGGTGTTTGTTTGAAGTCCCATATTACTTAAGTTCCCGGATTGTTGATTGTATAAATATGTGAGGGCAACCTCACTCTTAGAGCTAGCTTTTCGGGTCGAGATCCAAACATATTTAACATGGTATCAAAGCCGGGTTAAGGATTGTAATGTGGGCATTTGACCCAGACCCACACTAGGCGTGAGGGTCGGTGTTGAAATTGATATTTGTGTTGTTGGTGTTTGTTTGAAGTCCCATATTACTTAGGTTCCTGGGCTGTTGATTGTATATGTTAAGAGTCCCACATCGGACAATATATGGCCTGAACATGAGTTTATAAGTGAGAGTAGTTCTCACCTTACAAGCCGGTTTTGTATGGTCGGGTTAGGCACAATCACACATTCTAAGATGGTATCTAGAGCCTACTAAGAGGCAATTCTTTGCCATGTTTTATTCGGTTGACCCACTGTCTTAAGAGTCCCACATCGGACAATATATGGCGTGAACATGAGTTTATAAGTGAGAGTAATCTTCACATTACAAGCTGGTTTTGTAGGGTCGAGTTAGGTCCAACCACACATTCTAAGATGGTATCAGAGCCTCATCTAAGATCCATTGGGCCACCCACCATTTAGTTCCACGCTCCAGTCCTAATTCCTGGGCGTGAGAGGGGGTGTTAAGAGTCCCACATCAGACAATATATGGCCTGAACATGAGTTTATAAGTGAGAGTAATCCTCACCTTACAAGCCGATTTTGTAGAGTCGAGTTAGGCCCAATCACACATTCTAAGAGTATAAATTTGTGAGGGCAACCTCACCCTTAGAGCTAGCTTTTCGGATTGAGATCTAAACATATTTAACAATTCCATAGCAGTTGCACAACAGAAGGAGAACCAAGCCACTTAACTTCTTCACCGATCATCCCATACTACTTGAAGTGGGACTTTGGGCATTTCATAATACCCCAAGTCCCTATCCCATACCTATGTATGACGGGTAATAGTGAGAATGCTTAAGGACTCGATAAATTTTGTAGAACAGCTAGAGCACACTAATTTATATATCAACACTGTAAATGTATTCATTTAAGGAACTTGGGTGCTGCAGTGTTAGTGGTGATCTTATTAAGTGTTTGCTTATTTCAAAGAAGCTGACCTTTATACTGTTGAACCTGACCTTTATACTTTGAAACCACCACCTAGTTCAGAGCACTAGGAATATTATTTTCAGTATCTATTTGCATTGTTTCACAGTCTCTAGGATAACACCTTCTTTAAGAAATGCTGGCATCCATGGTGTCAATGCGTTCTAAATTTGATCAATCTGTTAGTGTGGATTGCCTACTTGAAAAAGTATTAAAGGGCGATATGAACTTGTTTGTTGGTTCCCATGAAATTTAAAGGGCGATGTTATCCTGTATGATGAAATATTCATTTTACCTGAGATTATTACTCTGACTGTTCTCCTTTGAGTATCTTCTACCAATTTAATAAATGACTTTCTTATTTGCTGTGCAGGTGATAAAGAAATCCATTAAAGTGCAAAAGATTGCTCGTCATCTAGTGAAACGTTGTTCTCTGTTTTCATGGTTATCTTCTCTCATCTCAGTTACTAGAAGAGTTGGGCCTAATGGAGATGAAAATAGATTTTTCATGAAGCATATATTGGTAGTATTGAAGGTAATTGCTTAATTTTTTAGTCAGTTTACAGTTCTTGTTGGATGGAACAAGGGGCTCATTCTGACTTCCTGACTTGCATCATTTGTTTTTTGTTTTATCTTTTCAAATTGGTTTGGGATTTGTTTACTCTGACTTGAAAACCTGGTTTAGGATTTGGTTTGGTAGAAAAAGCTTGGTTGTTGGTTTTGTTCATTGAACTTGGTACTGAGAGGGGTATGACTTGCAGTTTGATTCTTTGAATTCAAGTTTTTCCAAAGAGGAAGCTCAAATCATAAAACAATGACTTACCTGTCTTTCGCTCTTGTATATAGTTGAACTGAAGTCGGCACCTGTCTTTTGCTCTTGTATCTAGTTGAACTGAAGTCGGCACCTAAGACTGATCATGGAATTTCATCTTGATTTCCATGGTGGTCTAGATCGTTTAACTCTTATCTGAAGATTTAGCCGTTGTTCTCTGCATGATCTTCAAATAGCTTTGATACCACACAAGTTATTGCCTAAAATTGTTCACCTCTTTTATTTCTGTCAAATGCTTACAAACACATGACCTTTTTTTATATGTATTTTTATTTTCAGTTTCCTTCTTTTGCACTGAATGCCCATAGCATTTATTATTTAGGTGGTCAATGATGTTATTTCGTCTGGAAGCATGTCCAAGTGGCTGCAAAATCATGGCCTTGAGCAGCTCACTGAGCTTTCATCTAATCTATTCAGTTTCATACTCCATGATGTAACAATGACAGATGAATCTACGGAATTAGTTAATCCTTTTCTACAGATGATAGTGTCGGTGTTGAAATTCTCTCAGAAAAGGAAAATATGTCAGCCACGTTTCACCTTATCAATAGAGGGTTTATACCAGATATACCAAGCTGGCAGTGTGTGTAATCAAGCTACAAAAGGCATTTACCCGGATTTTGCTCTTGAAGCCATACTTATGAGCGCACCACCTATTTCCATTTTCTTAATGGTACTTCTATTCATCCCCTTTATTAATTTTTGGTATGAAATTGCTCTATATTTTTTAAGTGGTTTTTGAAGGCATACAAGCAATCAATTTTGGATTGTATTTAATATTTTATTAGATTTTAGCTGTGCAGAAATGCTATTGGTTTTCCTATAAGTTTATCGGTTATCAATTGTGAATATAATAAATGAAAGGAAAAAACTTAGGTGCATTTCCTTAGGTGTGGGTTATGCTTTTTTTCAATGAAAATATGAGAAGTGTATAATTTCCTCTTACACATATGCAATTTTTTTATATTTTTACTCCTTAAAAGATATTTAGGTATATTTGTCATATTTTTATTGGAGAAAAGTATGAATCACACCTATGGAATTATATCTAAGTATTCTCCTAAATGAAATTCACAAAAACATATAAAGTTGGGCATATGCTATATGCTTTAGGTACTTTGCACTCTATATATTTGTCTTGTAATTGTTTCTATCATTTATAATTGTTCTTTTATTTGGCTTGTTTATGGTGTTTTTTTTCTCATGCTAGAATATTAAATTTCCTTGGAGAAATCATATATATCTGCCTACAGGTTTAATTGCAATTAAACCAAGATATCTGCATTTTTTTGACCAATTCAGTTATTGATTTTGGAATATGAGTGCTTGGATTCTACCATTGCATCGGTCACACAACAAAAAGATACACCTCCTTGTGCAATTTTGCATTTTATTTGTTTGTTCTGCCACATTTGTTTTATACCACTATGTAATGGTCTTGGATAGAACATTATGGCGGAGTTTGATCCATGTAGCCCGACCCCACTTAGTGGGATAAGGCTCGGTCGTTGTTGTATATTTGTTTTATACCAAGTGGTAACAATGTTAATGTTATTGACATGTTATTGACATGTGGTATCTTGTGGTTCTTGCATATGAATAACCACTCTTACATGTATACAGGATCAGGAAAGGCTTCGTAATTTTATTATTTGGGCAATTACAACTGCGTTAGCGTCGGATTCTTCACAAAGGTTGAGGTCTAACGAGTCTCGCATTTTTGTCAAAAAAGAACTAGGAGAAGAGTCTCGTGATGACTCCTTAGTGTCAAAATTTTTGCGTTGGTTAACAGCATCAGTAATCAATGGGAAGCTTCATAAAAAATCCAATGATATATATTCAGGGTTTACAGAAACACATAAGCTAGAATCCCTGCATTCTTTACTGGTGCATGTAGAAAATACCTCAGGACAAAGACATGATATTAATATTGGTTGTGAGGAGTTGCTCGCTTCAACAATTTTCTATCTCCAACTGCTTCCTGGTATAAATCAGGAACTTCTACCATCAGTTGTATCTGCTCTCTGTCTCCTAACTTTTGGTGCCTCTAATTTACAAGGTACCCTAATTTGTAATCTATACATTTAATATGGTTTCCCGGGTGCAATTGTGGCGTGGCGATAGGTCAGAGTTGACTATTCAGCTAGATATTTTTATCAATACTCTTGCAATATATTTATGTTTTTTTCTTACTTAATTCTGTAGTGGGAAGAACCATTTTATTGCAAGACTACAATACTATCATATCATCAAACTCTTTAAGGGTACGATGCCCTCTTGAAGCTAATCCAGATTGGAGATGGTAAAGATCTCAACCTTTTTAGTCTGTGGTTTGGAAAACATGGTTTTTTTTCTTCTACCACAAACGAAGTATCATTGAACTTCTGATATTTATCTGTACTTCAAAGCCAATCTTATTTGACTTAAATATGTTGTTTAGGTCGTTTTACCAGCCAAGGAAGAATCAATCACTGGAGCTCACTGGCACTGGTACAGAAAATATGGCAGAATATCATGCTTGCCAAACTCTGTTGGTGGTTGTTGCAAATGTGCTTGGTGGAAAGAAATTAGAGTCAGCTTGTTTGTCCCCTCTAGATGTTGAGATATCTTCCTTAATCAAATGGGAAAGAAGTTTATTGAGAAACTGAATGTTTATTATCAACCCATTTTCTAGTATGTTGGAAGTGCATTGATTAGTGGTAATAATATTTCAAAAAATAGTGTGAAATTTACAAATGGAGCAGGGCCATGTATTCGGTGCATTCAACTAGACCCAACCAGCCAAACCCAGTTTGATAACCTGAATGATTCAAATATGGGAGAGATGCCCCATCAATACTCATCATCTGAACCCAAGACCACGTGGGTAGAGATTCAAGAGATCAAGGCCTGAAAGAATTGTGACACTAACGGTATGTGTGATCTTTATTGGAGCACGATGAATGGGATATAACTGGCCACGAGGTAACTAGCAGAACAGAGAAAAGAGAAAAGGGGTAGGCGAGAGTGTTATACATAGGAAGAGAACATGGTTATACGATACTAGCAAACTTAGAAAAATTTCTTGTATTGTTTGAGTCATTTTTCTTGTATTCTATTTGACACATTTTTGTTACATTCAAATTGTCTTGGGCTTAGTCTCCCGAGTTTTGAGTTAAAATGTGAAAGAATAATTAGCTCTGTAAAATTTGTTACAAGGATTTTTAGTGTCTAAAATAAATTTAATTAAAAGATAATAAAATAATCCCTTTTACTATTGGGTGGGAAAATATAATTCCATGAAGTGCAAGTTGATCAAAATAAATATACAATGACTTGGATTATTATTGGGAGGGCAAGTTGATCAACAAATTGGATGGCAAGTTTAAAAAAAATTATAAGGTCAAATTAGAGACCAAGCATTTTTATCAAGTGGAAGGGCTTGACTTAATTGAAGTTTTGCATCGGTTGTGAAACCTGTCTTTTAGGAACGTTTTAACACTAGCAAATTTTCAGCATCTCCATATGCATTTAAAATGCACAGAACGCTTCATAAGTGAGCCATCTACTTCATATTTGTTAAATATCATATTTGTTAAATATTTATTCGAAGATACATCTACAAGTCATCCATCAAGAGTAAAAGTTATGTCGTCCAAGAGATGTGTTTGACGGTGGTCTTCGTACGAGAAAAAGCATATGTCATCTACTACATGGCGATTAATAAACACTTTGTATGACTCTATCATCTGATTTCCTCTATACGGGGCAAAGGCGCAAGCACGTGGCAAATCTTCAGGGTAGTCCATCTCATGTTTCCACTCGGATATGCGAGGAAAGTGAGAGATGATCCACGGCTAAAAATGGTCCAGATACAATATTAGTAAAAAATATAACACTACCGTTATGAAAATATTACTAACAATAAATGTTGCGAATAAATTATCGTAAACAGTGTGCTGCTTTCACTCATTTGTCCGGTCTTCCAAAGACAAGCTTCGCCTAGTTTAGAGTACAATTAAATCAAACACACATCCCCCACGTTGTACTAGTGAATCCGCTTTAAGTTGACACAATATGTTAGGTAGACAACATCAATGTATGTGGTCGACTATTTTTGTGAGTATAAAATCTAACTGCAAGTGCATAATCTATCGTGTAGTTTCAAAAAGATATCGATCCACAAAGACCAATAGTCAAATCTATTGTTTCTAGTTATTTCGGTGTTTATCTAAGGCGATTAAAATAGTGGTGGAAAAGAGACGAAATAAACTTTTGAATACAATAGGTAAATAACAATGCTGGAATGTAATTCACATCAACCAACAATACTCTAATTGTTTCTACTAAGATTAATCACGGGGCAATATTTCCTACTTTGAAAAGAATCAATTTAACGAGAACTGTCGCTTTTGCGTATTCAGAATCAAGTTTACTCTCTAATTTATGCCCGCCATTATCATTTATGGAAGGTACTTAACACAAAGTAGTAAACCTATTTTTAAGAAATTAAACTCTTCACTAAGTTGAAAAGTAATTTTGATTGGAAAGTTTGACTTAAAAAGGGTTCCTAAGCTTTCGCTTACGCCCCAGATCCTAAACATATGAACGCGTCCGCAAATAGTTTTAAAACCTCCTTCTAGAAATATCAAATCTTCCTGATCAACTAACAAAATGCTTTCGCGGTATTTGTTAACAAAAAATAAATCAATTTTAGTCTTTAGTGTCAGACAACTTTTGATCTTACCCGACGTTTTCACTGCTTCGCTTTCGTGTAAGCATATTCAAAATAAGTTCAGAAAAATGCGTTTAAATCAAAACAACCCACAAAGGTGATCCTAAAGAAACAACATTTAGAGCATCGTCTATTAACGATCCTCAAATCCTAACACTTAGTAAATTAATCGGACATGTTTAGGGAAAACAAAACATAAACAGTTTTAAGTGCAAAGATAAACATAATGACATGTAAATAGATGAAGCGTGTGTTTGTTTCTGTGTTGGGACGCGAAAATGAGTATTAAAAGCGGATCCAAACATAGGCGAAGAGAATAAAGACAAGTAAATAAGGAAGGAAAGTAAAGGCAAGGAAAATAAAGTAAATGCTGAATGAGTTAAGAACCTGCTTCAAATGAAGACTTGAATTTGGAACAATTGCGATAACTTGAAGTAAGTCTTGACGGAAAATAAACGGCATAAATAAAGTGCTTGGAAATAAAACTTATACAGGAGCTCTAAACTTGATACAGACTCAATCGATGATGCAATAATCCTATGATGTGAAGAGATTGTTGTTTTACAAATAGACAATATATAACTTAAGTATACATAAGCTTGGATGAATTGGAAAATGGCATGAAAGGGGGTATTTATAGGAGTTAGAAACCCTACAAATCCATAAGAAACAATTCCTAGGTCGTGGAGAAATTGTAGGAGAAGTTTGGGAAGACTTGGAGACTAAGCATATGTTGTCTCCAACCGCTTTGGATTTCCTAAGGGTGGCGACCGCCACACCTTCATGGCGACCTCCATGCTTACAAAGTGGGCATGACTTGGCCATCCTAATAGTTGGTGCATGGACCACCCATGGCAGCCCTAGGATTAACGCCATGGGGGTAGTCTAGGTGAAAGCTTGCTCCAAATCTTCGTTTCACCCATTTAGCTCCATTTCTTTGCACACAACTCCTGATTAGTCAATTTTTTGAAACAAAGGAAAAACAACAACATAATACTGGAAATAAGATGGAAATAAAACATATGAAAATCAAGTCAAATATACGATGTATTTTTATGTCATCAAACTCTCCCACACTTGAACCCTTGCTTGTCCTCAAGCAAAATGTAAGTAAACAATGATATTCAATATCTTCTTTGGGTTTTCAAAAGACTCTTCTTGAACAAATTATAACTCTAGGTACTAAATTACTGAAAACAAAAGCATCATAATAACACATTATGCGTTTCGCAGTCATAAGTATCTCTTTTATACAAACCAATCCGAATCATGTCATTATGCTAAAGTTTAACTTATTCATTCCATTTTATCCTTTTTCATTCAGGCACAATCACATTAAGCCTGTTTTCCGTACATACTTATAATAAGGCGACCAGTTAGCGACTCTGATCCTTTACTTGGGGTTCTGGTACCTTAGAAGACGTGACCAATTTGTTTACTCTATTGTAGTTGCAGGGGAACAGACCTTAGTCCGCCCTACCAAGTTCAGTACGAGACACTTCTAAACCAACTAACAACAGGCTTTCATTATATTTTTGCAAGTTCCACAACGATTGTGCTAAGCGTCCGGGTGAGGGTCACCTAATTTAGAAGTTGCATTCCTTATTTTTAATTAATTATAGCAGAAAAGAAACTTTGGATCATTCACTTGTATTCATCAACTTCCTTACGTAGAGCATGCTTGTTGTACCCCAAAATTTGCCCTCCCATATTCTTCAAGAAAATTGCCAAGTCAAGCTTCAAAGTTCCCCAAGGGTTGCACAGTGCAAGAGCCTCCTGAACAGTCAAAATTAGGGTTTGTGTTCTGATCAAGAAAATGAAGTTTCCAAAGGTCCAATAAAGTCTCACATGCCTATAAACATGGTCAAGCATCCTCATATCAAGTTTCAAGACATTCAGCACAAAATTGCACAGTCAAAACCCTAATTGCACTACAGTCAACTGTAGGGGCAAAATGGTCATTTGACAGTCAAAAGTTCAAATTTTTGGTCAACATCTTATTTTGAAGCCACAAACATCATTTGATCAATGCTTGATCATGATTCTCAAAAATATGGCTCAAGAAGTCTCAAGATGCAAAAGTTTCTATTTTTGGACAGCTGAAAATTCAACTGTAACTTGACCAAGGCATAACTTTTTCATGGTTCATCAGAAAAATCCCATCCAATGCTCATCTTGAAGGGGGAGACATTTCCTACAACTCATCTTCACACTCCAAGTCCAAGAAATGCTCTCACAAAAAGTTATCAATTTCAACATTATAGGTCATTTTCAAAAGTCAACAAAAAGGGACTTTAAGTCAAAGACCATAACTTGAGATTGGTAAATCAAAATGACATGGGACCAAATACATTGTTTATAGGACTTCAAGACCTTTCTAAAATGTCCAAGAACATGATCAAAGCTTAATAATTGAGCAAGATATGCATTGGAGAAGTTGGGAAATTTTTGTGAAATAGCCAAAGGCAATTATCCTTGAAATTTCATTTTTGACAAAAGGGGCCCACTTTTTCCACTTGTTTCAGCTTGGCCATGCTTCCCACGTGTCCCACAAATTATTTCAAAATTTAAAATTAATTTTTTTCATTTTTACTTAATTTTATTGGATTTAATGCATTTTAAATCTTTTAAAATCAAATAAAATTAAAAAGGTTAATTAAAGGGAATATTTTGCATTGAATAACTTTGAACCACCATTATACACATCCCAAATTCATGCCAAGGCCTAATCAAGCAAGAATTCAAATTTTGGTACAAAGATGGAAAGTGTTTCAATGGAGGTTTATGGAAAATCTTAAGCATGAATACAAGGCATTATTGGCCATAATTCTTATCAAAACACATTACATAACATGTATACAAGTGATCACAAGGACATACACGAAAAAATAAGGTCCCAAATTGCAAAACACATTTCAAGCAAAGAGCAAAACT